CTAGAAGACTCCTAAGTCTCCTAACACTAGAGAAGATCCTTGTAGGAATTTCCTTTCCTAATTAAATTAATAAACATGGAATAGAATTAAATTCTAATTTAGGAAACCTAAGTTTACTCTAATTAATTAATATAATGTAGGAAATATATTTCCCACCAATCTTCATCTTCTAGAAGACTCCCAAGTCTCCTAATCCCAAGAGAAGATTCTAGTAGGAATTTTATTCTCCTAATTAATTAATTAATATGGAATAAAATTAATTCCTATTTACTAGGAATTAAATAATAAAACATCCCACTAGAGTAATATTATTTCTCTCCCCATTTAGCCATTATTTTACCAATAAAATCGAGCCTCCATGATTAAATAATATTAATCTGATTGATCGATTTACCTCCCTATGTTTAAGATATAACGTCCGTTGATTAATTAAATTACTGACAAAGTAATTAATCAACTTCTTATTAATTGTTGAAATTAGTACCACTCAGCCTTAAACCATTATGTCAGATAATCGTCTACCTGCAGGGTTTAACATAAGGTTCCTTTCTGAGCTCATTTCGGGGACGTCATCAATCCAGCACACTGGAACATAGTGACTGTAAATAATATATAATAGCACATCATATAATTATTCTTACTTACCAAAATACCTCGTATGTCATCCTAACAGAATAGAAATCACTTGGTAAATCAAATAAATAAGAAATAATAATATATGCCTATTTTATATTATTTTACAGCTTAAGAGAACGCATCAATCACTGAAGGTCTAGGTTACGACAACGGTCAGTGAGTCTCATATCCTTATCCTTCCGTGGTCCTGTTCAACACTTAACATAAGTGCTAGTGTAATCCTTCAGTCAAAGAACAACTGAATCGGGAATACACTACAGTCTTTTTCCAAGTGGGGTCTCACTGCCAGTCTAGATTGTGAACGAATAGTTTAGTCTTATAAGGAACCGATAGGTGATCTTTCCGTTCGAAACTCTTCGAACCACACTATCTCAATATAAGACATGGAGTATGTATTGCATAAATAAATAAACTGCAAACATATGTACTTTGACCGAAACATGATTGCCAGATCAAAATGGAATTGATAGAAACTGCAAAACACAGCTTTTACAGCATACCTCTAACAGCACGAGCCGCCCGCTGCACCTGACGCCGAGACCGAGCCACTGTGCAACCGTGATCCGTTTGACGTGTCGATTAGAATCGACTAAAGCCCAAATCTATCCGCCCATTAGATTGTGGTGTTCAGACGAACTTCATCAACGGTACTGTACATTGTCTCAGAGTCGGCAAAAATTATAAAAAGGTAAACGTCCATATCATAACTATAGATTCCGCTGGGTTAGGATTTATTTCGATAAAGTTCAATACTGTGCATGTTGTTTGACGTTCCTCACAGAACCCAACAGCCCAGTCTCGAAGGCACCGTACAGAATGGCACCAGAGGAGCTGCAAGAGCTCAAGTCGCAGATCCAGGTACTTTTGAACCTTGGTTTCATCCGACCGAGTGTTTCGCCCTGGGGAGCGCCCGTACTATTCGTCAAGAAGAGGATGGGTCGATGCGGATGTGCATTGACTACAGGGACTTGAATAACTTAACTGTGAAGAACAAATACCCACTGCCCCGGATCGAGGATCTATTTGACCAGTTGAGGAGTACCAGCGTGTTTTCTAAGATTGATATGAGGTTTGGCTACCATCAGCTGAAGATTCGGGAGTCCGACATATCGAAGAAGGCCTTTTGAACTAGGTATGGACACTACGAGTTCGTGGTGATGCCGTTCGGATTGAGCAATGCACCGGCGGTGTTTATGGACTTGATGAACTGAGTTTTCCATCCGTACTTAGACTAATTTGTCATTGGTTTAATCGACGACATTTTAGTATATTCAAAGGACGTCGACGAGCATAAGATTCATCTGAGGCTTGTACTAGAGATGCTTCGCAAGGAAAGGTTGTACGTGAAGTTCTCGAAGTACGAGTTCTGGCTTGATCGTGTGGCATTCTTTGGCCATATCGTGACGGCTAGAGGCATAGAGGTGGACCCTAGCAAGATCGAGGCAGTGAAGAATTGGTGTACCCCGAGGAACGCCAACGACATCCGTAGTTTCTTGGGTCTAGCAGGATACTACCGCAGATTCATCGAAGGTTTCTCGAAGATAGCCCAACCGATGACCAATCTGACGAAGAAAGCTGCGAGATTTGTTTGGAGTCCCGAGTGTGAGGCTAGTTTCCAGGAGTTGAAGCAGAGACGTACCACAGCACCTGTATTGACCAATCCAGATCTGACTTTGGAGTTCACCATCTATAGTAATGCTTCGAAGTTGGGTTTGGGTTGCGTGTTGATGCAGCAGGGGAGAGTCGTGGCATTCGCATCAAGGCAGCTGAAGCCTCATGAGACGAACTATCCAACCCACTACCTAGAGCTAGCTGCAGTGGTCCATGCCTTGAAGATTTGGCGGCACTACCTTTACGGAGGCAAGTGCGAGATCTTTACCAGCCACAACAGCCTGAAGTACGTCTTCACACAGAAAGAGCTCAACATACGACAACGGCGATGGTTGGAACTCGTGAAGGACTATGATTGCACAATTAGCTACCACCCAGGGAAGGCTAATGTGGTCGCCGATGCGTTGAGTCGGAGGAACCAGGATGCGCTAAACTTTATAATTTCTCGAAAGGAGGAGTTGGTCCGGGACTTCGAACAGCTGAATTTGGAGATCGTGGAGTCTACTTCGAGAGCTAGTGGTGTGCTGGCATCATTAATTGTGGGTCCGACTTTGCGAGAGAGGATAATTGCCGAACAACCGAAATATCAATTCCTTAGTCGAATGAAGGAGTTGGCGTTAGCCGGACGGATTGGAGGTTTCGCGGTTTCAACTGACGGTGGTTTAGTCTTTGAGGGGCGACTTTGTGTACCGAAGGTTTGGGAACTACGACGTGAGATTCTGAAGGAGGCTCATAGTGCTCTTTATTCCGTTCACCCTGGTAGCACGAAGATGTACCAGGACTTGAGGAAGACCTTTTGGTGGCGTGGTATGAAGCGCCAAGTGGCGACGTTTGTAAATAGTTTTCTGGTGTGTCAGCAAGTGAAGGCTGAACAACAGAAACGGAGAGGGCTATTGAGTCCCCTTGATATTCCCGTATGAAAATGGGAGTGCATCACCATGGACTTCGTGGTGGGTTTATCGAGGTCGAGGAAAGGACACGATTCAATTTGGGTGATAGTGGATAGACTTACAAATTCTGCCCACTTCTTGCCTGTCTGGACGACGATGAAGGCCAGTGAGTACGCCGAGTTGTTCGCCGCTGAGATTGTTCTACTTCACGGGGTGCCCGTGGAGATTGTGTCCGACCGAGATGTGAAGTTTACTTGTTAGTTCTGGAGGACTCTGCACCGAGCCATGGGGACGAGGCTGGAGTTCAATACAACTTTTCACCCTCAGACAGATGGTCAGTCGGAGCGGACGATCAGTACTTGGAGGATATTCTTAGGGTTGTGGTCTTGGACCGTAGCCTAACTTGGGAGGGTTCGTTGCCATTGGTTGAGTTAGCTTATAATAACAGTTATCATTCCTCTATCAAGATGGCACCGTACAAGGCTTTATACGTGCGAAAGGTGCGAACTCCCATTTATTGGGATGAAATTGGAGAGAGGAAGATTATGGGCCCGGAGTTCATGCGCACGACTTCGACTCAGGTTGATGAGATCCAGAAGAGGATCAAGTCTGCCCAGGAGAGGCAGAAGGTCTATGCCTACTGGAAGAGGCAAGAGCACGAGTATGCTGTGGGTGATCACATCTTCCTGAAAGTCTCGCCCATGAAGGGTGTGATCCACTTCGGGAAGAAGGGGAAGCTTCAGCCTCGCTATATCGGGCCTTTTGAGATCTTTGCTAGAGTTGGAGACTTCGCGTATCGGCTAGCTTTGCCACCGGACTTGTCGGGAGTGCACGATGTATTTCATGTCTCCATGTTGCGTAGATATGTACATGATCCCAACCATGTGGTGGACTTCGGCGAGCTGCAGGTCGAGGAGACCTCACCTATGAGGAGGTGTCGGTTTCCATACTGGACTGGAAGGTCCATCAGTTGATGAACAGGGCAGTGTGTTTGGTGAAGGTGATATGGAGCCGACACGACGAGACCGAGGCGACTTGGGAGATCGAGGCCGAGCTTAGGAGAATATATCCGAACTTTGCTTTTTGATCCCCTTTGTACTCCTTTGTATTATAGTTGCTTTTTTTTGTTTTCTTTCATTTCCGGGGACGGAAATCTTTTAAGGAGGGTAGATTGTAGCGCCCCGTTCGTTTATTAGATTTTTCTGAATATATTATTATTATTTATCTGCTTATTATTGATTATTTGCCTTTATTTCATGATATTGATCTGCTTGCTTGATAATTATTATAAATTGCTCGTTATGCCCTGTGTAATTTGTGTGCTTTATTATTTCATTGTTACATAGTTAATTCTATTTTTATTATTATGTTTATTGATGAGTTAGAATTATTTTAGTTGTTAAGTTAGTTCGTTGGGTAGTTCCAGTTTAATCGCATGTATTTAATTTTCGGTCCAAAGCGACTTAGTTAAAGACTTTTTGAGTTGAATATTCTGACCCTAACTTAAGTTGCTATACTAGGCCCAATTTTAAATCATCTCAGCCACTGCCCGCATTAGTTATTTGCAATTGCTCCGTTTTCACTAATCATGGCACAATTTGAACAGTTTTTTTGTTTGTTAATACTTTCAGCCCAATTACTTATGTTATTGGCCTAAAATGGAGTAATGTTTGATGCCTTATAAATCCCACGTGAGTCTGATCCAGTCGGCTCCATCCGTTGCCTTTTGAGATCTTGTTGCGATTTTTCGGTAAATCTCTTCGCACGTTGCACGATCATTCTCCTCGATCTCTTATATTTTGCCAGAGGAGTCTCCCATCGTTCAAGAAGATTAAAAACCCTCACATCACTCCCTCTGGTAATCACCAGACCATAGCTCTCGATTATTTTAGAAAATCGCTTCCAGCCATTCCTCTCATGGCCGCTAGCCTCGTAACGTGCAGCAACCCGCCGGCGAGTCCATCATCTCCAGCGAGCCTCCTGTCAACGAACGCTCTACAGTATTTCGTTCGCCATCGAGTTTGAGTGTCTCCGTCAGGCCCTAACAGGGAGCAGTCGATCCCCAATAAGTGCTGCAGATCCCTTGCCCTCCATTGTTCGTCGAAGTTTGAAGCTTTCGAGTTTCTGTTAGTCCTGTTCGTTCCGTTTGTCTTGTTCGTATTTCCAATCGAGCTTGTACATTCCGTGGAGTACGGTAATGACTAAACCTCCTTGTTTTAATATCGTACTCGAATATCATGATGTTGGAATTATCGTGCTCGTTGAACCGATTATGTTAGTTGTCGAATTTTATATCGGATCGTATTCGTTTTGTTTTCTTATTTGATGTCTCGTGAATTTACGTGGATTGGAACTCTCGTTGTATAATCGATCCTGTCATATTTATGTCGTTACTCGCGAATTTCGGAGTCTCGTTTCGAGCCTTGTCGTCGTCGTTTTGTTGTTCGTTGTTTTTTCGAGTCGTATTATTTTCATTTCATTTTTCGATTCAAAAACCCGATTTTTATAAATGTTCGAACTCTGTCAATTTGTAAATTTTGTAAATATGGATTTTTTTCTCGATTCCGGTTGTCCAAAAGTTGAAGCTGTCGTAGAGTTCGCTGCCCCTGTTCGTATTTCACAGCTTCTGTAATTGCTCTGTTTTCCTTTATTCTGCTCGTAGACCACATTGTGGTTTTAGGCCAGTCAGTGTGCGACTCTTTTTCCTCAATTTTTGAAGCTAGTACCACGACCTTTATTTTTATTTTTTTACACCTCAGCCTAAAAGTCCAAAAGGTGCAGCCCAAGGAGAATGGAAGAGGCCCAATGTTTTCCTGCTCTCGATAGTCCCATGCGTAGCCCACTTGTACACCAGCTGGAAAAACGCGCGGGCCGTGCAGCCCGCAACCAGCTCGTGCGCGGCCCGATCTATCTCTGCAGCCCCCAGCCCGCGTTTCGGCCCAGTGCAGCCAGCACCACCTCACGCGTCCTGGCCCGAGAACCCGCACCCCCGGCCTGCGTGTCTTCTGCCTGGTAGCAGGCCTTCCTTTTTGGCCCAATTAACTCCTTGCAGCCCAAATTGTTAGGCGCACCAGGCCCAAACCGAGGCAGCTTGTATGTTGTGGTTATTTGTAGTCCTTTTTGGCCCTTTTTGGGTGCCAAGAGTTTATTTTTCGTGCCAAAACCTATTTTTAGAATTATTATAAAATAAGATAAGTTTGAGAAAAATATTTTAAGTCTCGAGACCTCATATTATTTTTCGAGTCTTCAAATTTCGAGAGTTCCAAGTCCACGAAATTCGACAAAAACCCTTGATCCTTACTTTTAGTTAAGTGTGGGTTTTCATTTACTCCCGAGTAATGAGATATATTATTGATATATCATCTCTATTAAATGTAGGTGTTTGAGG